GGACTAGGTGTGAAAGCAAATGCAAAAACAGCATTCAAAACATAACACTTGCGCGCGTAACGCCACAAATGATTACCCTACGGAGCTACCTTAATAGCAAGAGTCTGCAATAGCAGGGTGTCATGAGAATGAACTATTTTTTTGGTTGTGAAGGGGCACATGTAATGTATACCACTATACTCTTTTAACATTTCCAGTTTCTTTTAACCCATTGACTCCTAGAGCTTTTTGCCAAAAATGCATTTTTTGGACATTTTGGAGATTTTCAGGCTGGATATGGGCCAAAGAAGCTCCAATCTACTCAAAAAGGCATTTGCAACATGTCAGCACGCCTTTCTTTCCACTAGCATCGCATTTTATGACATTTTTACGCTGGCAGGCTTTTCGATTTTTGTAATTTTTGCGCCTTTCCTTTTTCTTCTTTTCTTTTCTTTTTGCTGCAGTGATTGATCTTCTACTGGGCTTGCTTCCAGTTTAAAAAATTCTGAAAAAGCATCATCGCGACGGGCAATTTTTACCATGGAGTAGCCACGTGTAGTGGCAGGAAATTTTGCTCTGAGTTTTTCACACAACTTTTCAAGATATTTTGTGCATATCTCAGGCTCCATTGGGCCGATCACTCTGATCTGGGTAACATTGGAAAGATCTTTTCCTCCTGCAGAAGTTGAGCATAGGTGATGCCAATTTTGGTCAAAGGAGATACGTCAGAAGTGGAAGAAAAGCCAAGGCTCATCACGGTCGGTTCAGTTGGCACAGGAGTCAATGGGTTCATTTGTAGTAAACATTTACTTTGAGACATGATCATATAATTTCAGTCAAAATAGTGTACTGACTAGTTAACAACTGCATAATCAATTATGTCATTCAATAACTCCAACTTGTCCATTGTAATGAAAGAAGAAAAAATAATAAATATAATATAGTTTGGGACCACATAACGGGAGTCTGTATTAGTGGGAGTCCATGATAGCAGGAGTCGTTTATGTAACTTCTGTCCTTAATAGCGGTGTGTCCTCAATGGTGGGATGCCTGCAAGGTGAGAGTTGACTGTAATGTTTTCAATTTTTCACTCAGACACATTTTATTTAACTAACCTATCATCGTCATGGATATCTGAATCAACATCAAATGTGTATTTGAATCCTGAACAGCCGCCTCCTTCCACTGATACACGAAGAAAACCGTCCCCATTCTCTGCAAATATCTTGTGCAGTTGCTATAAGAAAAGATTGTACAGTTAGGTTGTGTTTTATTGGGATCAACCATTTCTGGTAGGTTGGGCTTTATTTGGGTTCTATTGGGGAAAACCCATTTTTGGTTGGTTTGGTTGATCAACTTTTTCAACCGGTCTCACACCAGGTTGAAACGGTCGAAAAAGCATTTGTGTGATTATGTCACATGATTGTTAGCTTGTTTAAGGACTAAAATTTACCATGAAATACTGTGTTTCAACTAAAAGTGGTTGGAAAAGTGTTCTATTGAGAAGTGTCAACTGAATCAACCCAAGTCAGTTGC